CCTCATTGCACGAGGACTACGCCTAGTTCGAACTTACTAGTTCGAATTAAGGGCTGTGTAGACCCTTAATTCGAACTAGTAGGAGGCTAGCCCTCCCCAGCTTTCCCTGGTGGCCACTCTGGGCACCACCAGGGAAACTCGTATGCCCCCCTCCCAGCCCTGGAGCCCTTAAAGCGGCACGGGCTGGCTACAGTGCCTGTGCCAGGTGCAAGCCTGCCAACACCCAGCCAGCAGACCCTACACCTGGCATGCCATGAGCCACCCGCTGCCACCCAGCGGGAGCCTGGCCAGGACCGCAAGAGGTGGGCACATGCCTGGTATAGTGCAGACATCATGGATCTCGTCCATTAACTCCACATTAGGCACAGGAAAGTGGCCATCCAGGGCAGGAGATCTGCCAGCCTGGCCACCCAGGAGCAGGTGTGCATGAAAATCAAAGTGGTCCACTGAGACCCCCAACCCTGAGCCCAGAGCTTAGAATGGCCATACTGGGTCAGACCAAAGGTCCATCTAGTCCAGTAGCGTGTCTGCCGACAGCAGCCAACCCTAGGTACCCTGGAGGAGATGGACCAAAGACAGTGACCAAGCCATTTGTCTCATGCCATCCCTCTCCAGCCTTCCACAAACTTTGGGCAGGGACACCATTTCTACCCCCTGGCTAATACCACTCCATGGACCCAACCTCCATGACTTGATCTAACCTATCTTGAAACTCTGTTCTAGTTCTAGCCTTCACAGGCTCCTGCAGCAAGGAGTTCCACAGGTTGACTATTTGCTTTGTGAAGAAGAACTTTCTGTTACTAGTTTGAAGCCTGCTACCCATTCCTTTCCTTCGGTGTCCTCTAGTCCTTCTATTATGGGAACTAATGGAGAACTTTTCTTTATGCACCCTCTCTACACCACTCGTGCTTTTATAGACCTCTATCATATCCCCCCTCCGTCTCCTCTTCTCTAAGCTGAAAAGTCCCAGCCTCTTTAGCCTCTCTTCATATGGGACCTGTTCCAAACCCCTGATCATTTTAGTTGCCCTCCTCTCTCCCAGCCTCTCTCTTCCCCTCTCCCACCTACTTTTCCCAGTCTCCCCCAGTTTTGTTCAATAAAGAGATGTTTTCTTTATTTTGTACATCAGGAAGGGGGGCTAGGGAAGGGTAAGTGGAAGGAGGTGAGGGAGGAATGGGTACGCTCCCCCGATGGGGAGGACTGGGCTGGCTCTGCGGGCTTCTTGGGGTGGACGTTCTCCTGCAGCCCCCCAATTAGGCTTCCTAATACGAACTAGCTGTACTCCTCGTGGAATGAGGAGTACAGCTAGTTCGGATTAGGAAGCCTAATCCGAACTAGCTACTCCGTGCTGCGTGTAGCCGCGTGGCCCGGGGTTCGAACTAGCTGGGATTTTAAAATGGCGGCGCCCGGCTTATGCAAATGAAGCCCAGGAAATTCAAATCCCAGGCTTCATTTGCAAGTGCGGTATGCCTACATTACCCTCCTAGTTCGAATTAGGAGGGTAGTGTAGACATACCCCCAGATATTTGTGCATATGATCACAGTAATCATAGACTCATAGAACACTAGAACTGGATGGGTCATCAAGCCCAGTCCCCTGCCCTCATGTATATGTACATGTCTTTTTTAAAATTAGACCTTAAACCAGGGAGTAGTTGCAGAAGATACTAAAAACCCTTACAGAGCGAGAACATTTAATTAAGAACAACAAGCAGTAAGCCAAGATAAATGCTATTTGAAATGATGGAGTTCTAATCACTCCAGTTATTCAGAGATCCTACATTTAAATCCTAGAAAATGTAACAGAATTAATTGGTATAAAGGGTCAAAGTAAATTACATGCATGCAATCACAGAAGAAGGCCATACATCTACAGCTCTGTAGGAATGATTTGCAGGTGTCATATTATTCCAATTCTAAGGGGAAAAAAATGAAAAGTCTGTTTCACAATTAAACTTGAGATCAGACCCTGATTCTGAGTTCCCCAACTCTTCAATGTCCTTGTTTCCATTACTATCTGGCTCTGCATCTAGTTCCATCTCCCCTTTCCACCAAATTAAATGCCTCAAGGAACAATCAAGTTAGTGTATGGCCACCCTTAGGGTGTGTCTACACAGCACCGTTATTTCAAAATAACTAATGTTAATCCAAAATAACAAATGTGCATCTACACTTCAAGCCATTATTTCAAAATAATGTTGAGCTGGAGGACCTCTTACTCTGACTCCTGTAATCCTCATTTTATGAGGAGTAAGGAAAGTTGAAGGAAGAGTGTTCTTCTTTTGACTTCCTGCTGTGTAGACAGCACCAAAAGCTAAATTAAGCTATTTCAACACAAGCTATGCAATTGACGTAGCTGAAGTTCATAGCTTAATTTGACTTTAGCCCTGCTGTATAGAAGTACCCTAAGGCTACGTCTACACTACATGCTTCTTGCAGACAAGATCTTCCACAAAAACGTCTTGCACAAGAGCATGTCCACACTACAAAAGCACATTGAAAAAGCGATGCACTTTTGTGCAAGAGAGCATCCAGACTGCTTGGACACTCTCTCGAAAGAAAACTCTGATTACTATTCACAGAATAGCCACCAGAGGACTTGTGCTTTTTTCTATTCACTCTTTTTGCACAAAAAACCTCTGTTACCCATCCACACACACCTTTTTGTGCAAGAACTCTTACACAAAAAGGAGTTATTCTCTGTAGAAAGAGAAATACCTACACCACAAAACCCCCTCTGTTCTTTTGACTTACTGTACATTTAATTGTGCAAAAATGTGCTTGAGGTGTGGATGCTCTTTGGGTTTTTGCACAAAAACAACTGTTTTTCTGCAAAAAAACTGAAGTATAGACATAGCCTTAGTGTGTGGCCTTCACTGGCATGTGTGGGAGTCCTCTCAGGTCTATAAAAACACAATTCAGTTGCTGAACCTTGCCCATATATAAAACATTGAAGTGCACAGGTGGGCAGCTTTCAGATATAAATGTATTTCCGTTAGTTTTCCTTTAAACTATATTGGAATGGAACATATGAAAAATCCAGAATAGAAACATTATTTTTAGGTTTTAGAAGCCAAGCCAAAGAAAATGTAATCTTAAAAGCAACAAACTGGGTAATTTCTGCACCTTTGGGTTAATCTTGCCCCTTGCCTCTATTGTCACAGGAAATTGCCTGACAATAGAACTGAAATCGTTCCTCTGTCCAGGGAAAGGAACAGGATTCTGAAGAGGGCCCAGTACAGCAATAGACACCTTTCTGTGTCACCGGCAGATACATGCTGGCTGTGGAAAGGATGGGGCACTATAAATTGATTTCTCCTGGATCTCTGATGATGGAATCATGTCTGAAGCTACTTCTGCTTAGGGATGTAATAGTGTAGCTGATTAACTGATTAATCGATAAGCAAAAGTTTATAGGTTAATGCTATAGACTACACACATCCCCTCCTCCCCCCAGCCAGTAAATTTTGTAGCAGGCTGTCTAGCAGCCCAGCTCAATTCTGGCTTGTGCTGGGTCTGGGACCTACCCCCATTGTGGCTCTGCATTTAAAGTGTATTAGGAACCAGACAGGCAGGCAGCCCAGCTCAGTTCTTGCTTGTGCTGGGTCCAGGAGCTCAACCCCTTCCCTCTCCTTTGCCCCAGACAGGGTCTGGTTTTAAAACTGGCTCCCTTTGCAGACCAGCTCCCTCCTAGCCCCCTGCACTGCTGCCTCTGATATGGAGGCAGCAGCACAGAGTGGCAGGGGGCTCCTCAGGAGTGGGGCCGGAGCACACTGGCTGCTGGCCCCACTCCCGGTGACTATAGAATAGTTGACTAACCGATACGAATTCATGAGGTTGATCGACTATTGAATTAACTGATATTTAACCTCTTTACTTCTGCTCCACTGTCACGCTGCCGTCTCATAAGGAGAATCAACAGAGAACCAGAAACTTTACCTTTCACAACAAGATCACAGCATTCTAAAAGCATTTGATGTCTCATAGTACCTTTAATTTATTGGTATGCAGAATTTTAATTATATCAGTCTCATGCTCAACAGCCCTATTACTTCAGAGACTTTGGGAGTGAGACTTTCTTTTCCTACCAATCATAAAGCAGGGATTTTTCATGAGTTGTTAAGCTGGCAAAGTCTGGGGAAAGACAATGAACAAGGTGACAGCACATTCTGTTAATATGGGTCCAGTGTAGATATCTGGTTAAAGAATCACATGCATCTTATATAAATCTGAGCACCAAACCAAAAAGAGGGATGGATCCCCCCTATAGATTGTGGAACAAATGGAATGCAGCATGCAGTAACTGATACACCTAGGAACCTCTCACCACTTTACTTGTACCCTTAACTCTTATGCAAAGGAAGGGTGGCAGGGGAGTTCAGCAAAAGATGTTGATATGCTCTGCACTGACCTGGAGGGTGGACTCAACTGGGCCAAATCTTCCTGTAGCATGTAAGTCAATATTGCATGTTAAACAATGCTTTACATCTTATTCTACCCTCTTCACATGGGACAGGGAAAGAAAGCAAGAGGGAGGTGCACTAGTTCTTTTTAAATTCCATCTGCATTGTGTGATGCTTTAAATGTAGACTCAGCAGTTCTCTCGCTCAGTAGATTTCAGCAACACTATTCCTATACACAATGTAATTACAAATATATCACTAAAACATATCTGAGGCATGCACTACTTACCTGTTTGCAGTAACCATGCACATTTATCTTTTGCTTATAGTTTAATATGGGGCTAAGAGAACATTATTTTTTCCCAAGAATACCCTATTCATTCTCCCCATAAGTCAATGGAGCTTTTGGGAATTAGCTGTTTTCTGGGTGGATGAACAATACTGTCATTTTTTTTTTAAGATCAAGATGAAAAGCGAAAAATAAATAAAAATGGAGAAAAAGAGCATATGCTTCAGAAATAAAGATTTATTGCTGCAACATTATGCTCAGCGTTGTTACAGACCTTATGATCTGTACATTTTTTTATTCCTTTGCAGACAGATCCTTTGCCTTGGCACCCTGACATCTGTGTTTAATAAAACCACTGTTTCCAGGCATCTTCTGAGGAAAACATTAAAAGTAAGTAAAGACAGAAGATGTGCATTTAAGAACTTTTCTGTTCAGCTTGGGCAAGTGAGAAGAGAGGGTGTGGGGATGGTCATTTCAACAGTGGCAGAAACGTGTTTGTCATTATTCTTAAAGTACTCCCTCCACTCCCACCTCCCAGCAAATGCAGACAGTACATTTGTTCCGTTGGAAAATGATTTATGGATAAGTGCACATTAGCAATGTTGGCACCAGAATTATTATAAAATATTATGCTGGGTCTAAGAGATTAAAAATTCCAACCCCAGCTTCTCTGGCAAGCAAGTCACATATTTTGGGACAAAGATGTAAAATACTCCGAGAGACAGATAAATAGTGTGTATTAAAACCTCCGTTTGTGTTCAAAATCTGACAAAATATTTAGCTCAGGATTATTTTTGTGTTTTATCAGTTACTGATTATTTAATTATTTTTCAGTTTAAACATGTTTTTCTGATCATTTGTCTATATGTGCATAGCTTGCTACAAACACAGAATATTTTACATCACTGGTAGAGATTTAAGTGTCAAATGCTGTTCACCATTTCTTATCAATGCTTGTTCTTCCCCTGCTGTGCACCCAATCCTGCACTCACTAGCTTGTTCTTGAAAATCAACTGAAAATTTTTCTGAAGGTCCTGATTCTTCAAGTTGCTCCCTGTTGGCAGATCTATGTGAAATGAAAGAAACAGTGGTCTAGAAGTTACTAGCCTAGGACTCCAAAGATGTAAGTTTAAGTCTCTGTCCTACGACAGAGTTCTTATATGATTGTGGGTAAGTCACATAGCTTCTCTGGGAATCAGCTTTCCACCTATAAAATGGAAATAATAGCACTCAGTCTCTCTCTCATACTGGGGTATTTTGAGGATAATTTTTTCCCATTTTTCTGAAGTCATATATTTATGTAAAATAAACTGAGCAAAATGTCTCTTTGTGCTTGATGGTTTTACTCAAATGAGTGTTGTACATATTAGCTAACTAAAAATAAAGAAAATGAAAACCATGTGATGATAGCACCTAATCTCCTCTACTGGAGAAAAATGTGAGGGGTGTTCTGGATCCTCAGGTGAATAGAACATAATTCTGAAAAATGCGCTATGCAAACAAAAATATTATATAATTCTCTTGGGAAGACTACATGGTATATTAAGAAAAAAAGTCAGTAAGTTACTTTGAAAAAGAAACATGAAACTGAGGTGAAGAATGTTCTCATTTAAATTTCCATCATATCCCCTGAGTCTCTTATAAATGTTTGCTCCTTCACACCTGGTTTCCTTCCCTCTGTGATGAAGAAGAGCACTGGCTGATTTAAAATTCTATGTCCCTATTACTTTTTATTCAGCTCGGTTAGGAGGCAACTGGTTTCCATTCCATGAAAGAGTCAATTTCACGTATCATCACACTTGGTCAAAGCATAACTAAAGACCTATGGGTATGAAAACTGCAATAGTTTCACAAAGTGATCCGTTTCAAGTATGCAGAATATGCACCTGGCCAAACAACAATAGGATATCATTCCTTTTCTTAACTAGAAGAATATTTTGCAATTCTGAAGTGCTAAAGATGTAACGGCCTGCTTGTTCAGGGTGGTGCTCTGTCCCCCCTGGTGGTAGCAAGGTCAGCTAGAGATTGATGAGTTTGCTATAGCCTTGACTCAGAGTCTTTTAGCTCAAGCAGTGGAGGATCAGGCATGTAGTTCAGGAATTTCTAAGTCTGATCACCAATGTCCCTGTGCGGGTGGGCATTACAAGTAAAGATTGAACATGGGATCTCTTGGGCTAAATGCATAAGCCTCTGCTTCCTGAGCTAAAACACACTTCTCTTACCCAAAGCTGTGGGCACATCAAGCTCTAGTTAGCAAAGCCACCACTAGAGGGGGACAGAGTGTCACCCTTAGCAGGCAGGGGTTACAAATATATAGAGCCTTATCCTGAGCTATGCCTTAATGCTGATGCAATCAAAGGTGGGTTTACACCATCTCTATGTCTCTTCACATTTCTGAGTCCACTGCCTAATGAAGAACAACTCCATTGAACATGGCATATTGGGACAACTGCATGACTAAGGACATAAACATGAATAAGGGTTTGGAATACCAGGTTTCTCATTCTGTAGCAAATGATAAATATATTCCCAGCTTTGAAATTAATAACATGACTATAATACTGTACAGGACACCAGGTTTTGCTTTTAAACAGAGGCTATATCTAGACTGAAGGCGTCTTTCGAAAGAGGCTCTTTCGAAAGCATCTTTCGAAAGAGCCTCTTTCGAAAGATCGCGTCTAGACTGCAGGCGGATCTTTCGAAAGAGCAATCCGCTTTTTCGAAAGAGAGCACCCAGCGAGTCTGGATGCTCTCTTTCGAGGAAGCCCTATTTACATTGAAGAACGCCTTCTTTCGAAAGAGGAACTTTCGAAAGAAGGCGTTCTTTCTCGTGAAACGAGGTTTACCGCCATCGAAAGAAAAGCCGCGTTCTTTCGAAATAATTTCGAAAGAACGCGGCTTGAGTCTGGACGCAGGGGAAGTTTTTTCGGGAAAAGGCTACTTTTCCCGAAAATCCCTGAGTCTGGACACAGCCATAGATATCAAGTGGCAATTTCTTGCATTTATAGATTGAGCAATATAGCTTAAGTTGTTGTGATTATATGAAGTGCTGGGTGGCTAGCTTCACAATTGATAGTAATGTTGCTGAAAAATAGCCTAGAAACGGGGGAGGGGGGGGGAGGGTTCTGCTGTCCATAGAGGAGAATAAAACAACCCCTAAGCAAGAAACATCAGCTTTTCTAATGGACTTTGTCAGCCTAAATCCAGACTCAGTTCACTGTACTTTCAAAGGTTGGGTTGTTTAAGGGGTTTTCTGAAAAGTTTGTTTTATTATATTTCATGTGCTTGTGCTACAGATCCATGCCCTTGTGGCTGCAAACTGGTCTTTAAGCCATCAGCTGTATTATCACAGAGCACACTTGTCTAAATAATAGTTCTCTTTGATTCAATACAATGAGCTTGTATGACAATGAAGTGAACATCAGGTTGAAAAAATAGCCAAGCTCTCAAGAAACTGAAATCAGCACAAGGAAATGTTTCTTTTCCTTTCTTCTAAAAAACCCCACAACCCTATCTTTTTGGAAGTGTCTCAGGGAGCTTTGTAGCTTTCAGCAAAGCTACTACCTTTAATAAAGTAGCTGGTACTCTAAAGAACAATCGCCACTTTCCTTGCAAAGTGAGAAGTCCTTTTAAATATTTCATAACAATCTGGGAGCTTTAAGCACAAGGCAGCAACAGCACTAGGGGTTATGTCCTCAGCAGACTTTAGTGCAGGAGAGGTGCAGAGGGGAGCGAAATGGCTCTACGTTCCAGAGTCCCTTACACTGGTGTCAGTCATTGCCTAGTGTGCTCTAATCCCCCACCTTTAACTCTGGGGAATCCACAGCTACCTCTTTAAAGTATATTTTTGACCTCTCTGTGCTGCCCAATCTCCACAAAAACAACTAGAATGAGACCCCAGGGTTCTGATTCCAAAGCCTGACATGTCACAGATTGACAACAAGTGAGTGAAGAATACTTTTTTACCATATGTCCTTATTTAAATGGTTAAAAGCTTAACCTGGAAAGTTTTTTAACAAATCTAGATCCATCTTGTATGCAAAGCATTTCTAATTACAGATAGTGGAAAAGGGTAAATTAAAAAGTATTGAAAACGGAAAGATTTTGCTGATGTGACCTACTTATAGTGTACTCAAAAATGCATTTCTTTTCTGCATTTTTCACTAGCTCAGTTTTTAACCCTGGCAGGGCTCCCCACTCCATTCCCCATGCACAATGTTCTCTGCCTCTGAATGAAGGCAAGCAGTTTCTGAAATCGTTCAAAGATCTTATCTCCATCAAAGTTCATCCATCTAGTCCTGTACTGCAATACAATTAAGGATTCACATTCTTAAACATTTCCCCTGTTTTAACTGTGTGAATGTTATCTACAGTTTGCACATGCCATTTAGCCACAAGTGAAGGGTGGAAGTCAGGTAGGTGTGGGCACAGGAATTCAGATTAGAGAATTCAGGAATTCATGACTGCTTTGTGATAGTCCATGAATACTTCATGTGGTCTTAGTTATTGGGGTGTTTATTGTTTTAGTTTACTTGGTTTAGTAATACGAAGGGTTGCTGGTATTAAACAAGCTGAAAGGGAAATTGTGTATTAAGATAAGCCACCCCTTTGCAGACTCTTGAAGACTGTTAAGAGAACCCAAACTATTAACTATGAAGATTCTACCTCATGGGTCCATCTAACTTACAGAACTGGTTTTGAAAAGAAGGGCCAATATCTAATAAGAACAGAAGGAACAGTTTTAGAAGGAACACTTTCTCAGTAGGGGTATGTCTACACTACCCTGCTAGTTCGAACTAGCGGGGGTAATGTAGTCATCTGCAATTGCAAATGAAGCCCAGGATTTGAATTTCCCGGGCTTCATTTGCATGAAGCCGGCCGGCGCCATTTTTAAATGCTTTACTTGTCTTATTTATACCTAATGGACTGTATGAAGGCAACCCACTCCAGCAGCAGTCACAGCAGGAAGGGGGCAAGGTCTCCCCATACGAGGAAGGAAGAGAGGTGGCAATCCATTTGGCTCCTTCCTGTGACCAATCTGCTCAACTTCTTTAGAAACCTCACTGGTCTTGTGTCTGTCTGGTCCCCTTATCTGACAACACTGAACAATTCCCACCTAGGGTATGTCTACACTCCCCCGCTAGTTCGAACTAGCGGGGTAGTGTAGACATACCCTAGGTGGGAATTGTTCAGTGTTGTCAGATAAGGGGACCAGACAGACACAAGACCAGTGAGGTTTCTAAAGAAGTTGAGCAGATTGGTCACAGGAAGGAGCCAAATGGATTGCCACCTCTCTTCCTTCCTCGTATGGGGAGACCTTGCCCCCTTCCTGCTGTGACTGCTGCTGGAGTGGGTTGCCTTCATACAGTCCATTAGGTATAAATAAGACA